CTATCTATCTATCTATCTATCTATCTATCTATCTATCTATCTATCTACCTACCATCTCTATCTAATCTATCATTTCTCTAATCTATCTCTTTATATGATTTATAAAAACATATAACTGCATATTAATGGAGTACTATGTGGTTTTTATACATTGACATATATCCAATCAGATTAATCCTACTCATCTCCTCAAACATATCAGTTTTTGATGGTAAAAATTATCAATACTCTTCTAAGTTTTTAATGTCTGCTTGTGTGATTAATCTGTCCAGTGTCAACTATTTCATCATGGATTATGTGGGGATAGTTTCTTATTAATACTTTTGTACCCCATAGGGAAATTTGTAGACAGTAACTTTCTGATCATAGCAGCTTTATTCATAATAACCAGAAACTGGAAACAACCTGGATGTGGTACATTTTTTCATTTAAATATGGATTATTGCCCCCAAACTCCTGCAAGAGTTTAGTTTTAGTTCTCAAGGTCTGTGTGTGTGTGTGTATGTGTGTGTGTGTGTGTGTTTTATAATTTATTCACTTTATAACCTGATTGAAAATGTGGCACATTTTCAATACAATGCAGTATTACTCAGCTGTTAAAAAACAATATTATGAAATTTGCAGGCAAGTGGCTGGAACTAGAAACCAATCACCCTGCGTGACGTACCCCAACCTGGAAAGACACACATGGTGTGCACTCACTTAGCAGAGGATATTAGCTGTAGAGGATAACCAGGCTACAGTCCACGGACCCAGAGAAGCCGCGTAACAAGGTGAGGGAGGTGTCTAGGGTGATGCACAGATCTCCCTGAGGAAAAGAATAGATATTTCGGGGGAGCTGGGGCTGGGTGGGGGTGAAAACAGGAGGGATCAAGTTGGGTGAGGATGGGAAAATTGAGACAACTGGGAGGAACTGGGAGGTGTCTCAGGATGAGCTAGAAACCTGGTGCAGTGTTCACTCTCAGGGATCTGCGAGGGTGACCGTAGCTAAGACTGCTGGCATTGGGGCTATGGAGCCTGAACTGGCCATCTCCTCTAACCAGGCAAGACTTCCAATGGAGGGACCGGGACGCCAACCAGCCTCAAACCTTTGACCTACAACCTGTCCTGGGATAAAGGGGGCACAGATTGTGGGAGTGGTACACAACTGTGTACTAACTGTGTACTAACACAAGTGTACTAATGACCGGTACAGCTTGAGATCCATGTCATGAGAGGAGCCCACCCATGACACTGCCTAGGGGACATCATTGTCATCAGAAAGGCTTCATTCAGCAACTGATGGAAACAAATGCAGAGACCCACAGCCAAACATTAGGCAGGGCTCAGGGAATACTTAAGAAGGTGGGAGAGGAGAGTGTAAGAACCAGACCAGTCAAGGACACCAATGAAAGCCCACAGAATTAACTAACTTAGTCTCATAGGGCCTCACAGAAGCTGAACCAACACTCAGAGAGCCTGCTTGGACTGACCTAGGCTTTCTGCCTATACATTCCGGTTGTGAACCTTGGTCTTACCATGGGACTCCTAACAATGGGAGCAGGGGCTGTCTCTGACTCTTTTGTCTTCCTTTGGGACCTTTTTTTTTCTGTATGGGTTTGTCTCATCCAGCCTTAATACAAGAGGAGGTGCCTTGTCTTAGGGCAACTTGATAAACCATTTTTGGTTGAGAACCAATGGGAGGCCTGCCCTTTTCTGAAGAGAAATGGAGGAGTAGATGAAGGAAAGAGGTAGTGGAGGGCTAAGGGAGAGGAGGGAAGAGAAACTGTTCAGGATGTAATATATGAGAGAAGAAGAAATAAAAATTATCAGTGTCTGTAAACTGAAAACAAATCCTTGGTGTCTTCGGAAGAAAGGTGGAAGCAAATTGCTATATAATTGAACTGCAGATTTCCTTGAGTCATGTAATATCTACAAGCAATAATTATTTCTAAATGTAGTAAAATTAGTCCATCTTTCTCCTATATGCCACCAGTTTATATTTTCTCTTTCCTATCACATAGGTGCTGCTCCTGAGGCAGACATGAGGTCTTTCGGGGGTTTGTAGGCCAGTTAACACATCATTTGGACCATTACAGGCAACATCAAAGGGCACATGCATAAGTCTCTAAGCACAAAAAACCTGAAATATAAGATGCCTCTACATTTCAAATCAACATCACTGTTTGTTAAGTAAGGACATGAGGTCAGCCTGTGTGGTACAGAGAGCGTGTGCGTGAAGGCAGGGGAGGTAGCACTTGCGCGTAAGCTCAGTGTTGGCTTGAGTGCTGGGTGTGAGAGTAACACATGTCGTTGAGTGGAGATGAAGGGGCACCATCTCTTCCTCCATCTTAATCTCTTGCTTTTCCATGGCTAACTCTGCCCTTGAGGTCCAAGGGTGTGAAGCTACCTGCAAAGTGATCTTAATGGCTCATCAATTCATTTCACTACGTGGACCAAAGCTGTTTTACCTTATTTATCTGTAGCAATCAAGACAGAATTCTCTACACTTCGCTCCTCCATGTTCTTTATATAGCTAAATGACAGTTTTCCTCTCTACGACTGAGGATTGAACTCAGGGCACCGGGTAAGTGCTTCACCATGACATTCCATATATACATCAGAGCCAGCCAATCTTTCTAGCCATTTGTTGGTCATATTCTTTTTGATGATGCTGTGAGTCATTGGAGGATAAGGACTTTTATTTTTTTATCTCTTTCTCTCCATTCCCTATCATAAGGTCTACAGAATAAGTAAACTCTTGTGGCCCTGCTAATAGGCTCTTGGAAACATGCCTAGAAAGGTTCAGGGGAGGAAGAAAGGTAGCAGGTGACTGTGGCTTAGGCTGATGGTGTATTGGCTGCTACGCCATAGGAATAAATGAGAGGGCTCAGAAGCATTAGATGGGGATGGAGATGGGATTGGGGGTATCAAAAGGATTATCATCAAGGGACACCCAGACCTTAAGGTAGAATTGCCAGAGAGCTGCTCCTTAGAAGCTGAGGGGTTGGGAGCCTTCTGGGAATGAACGTGTGACCAGGTGTGTAAGATGCCCAGGAACTCCCAAGCAACCAAAGGGGCTGTGTGTTCGCTGGTGTTTGACATATCAGGATCAGGAACCCAGACAGGAACAACAAAGACTGGGAACATTATTCCAAGAACTTGAAACACCTTGTTGACAAAATAGTTTTAGAAAGCGCATCATTGTACCGTTTAGTTTTAAAGTTTTTCTTGTAGTCAAATTCCTGCTCATTAGTCTGAATGTTCATGACTGCTGCATTTTTCACATTAGCAGTTTCTTTTCCTTGTTTTTTCATGAGGTGTCTTCTTGCAGCTGAAACACATAAGGAACAGAGTAGTGGTTATCACAAGAAAGGAAAGATTATTAAGTGAATGCAAACTGGTAATTCTGACTGCCATTGTCACAGAGGAAAATGAAAATAAAGATGACAAATAATTCAGTTTACAAAAAATGGGGGCTCATTAACAAGACAATTTTAGATATAAACTGCAGTAATGGAATTGTTATGGAACTACAGTGGCAGATATTGAGAACGTGAAGGGCAGCATGCTCCTTTGCTGAAAATTATCTCCTTTTTGCTGTGCTCAGGTCTTCGTAGGTAAGTCCTTACTTATCCACATTTTAGTATGGGCATTTTAACCACTCATCCTGGAGTCATAGATATTTTAGAATACCATTTTCAAAGTTTCACTTTGAAATATATATCCAGTGGATATATATATATATATATATATGTATATATATATATATCCAGTTATATATATATATATATATATATATATATATATATATATATATATATATATATATCCAGTAATATTTCACTGTCAGGAGAGCTTCTCAAAGAAAAACTCAGGCCCATTTCTTCACAACAGTGGACTAGTCCAACAACTTGGAATGAACAAGTCTCAATTCTTATCAGGAAATGTTAACTGACAAATGAGTTATGAAAATCAGATTTTAATTAGAGCTTTATGCAATTCATGTAATACAATATCTGGAGAAGAATTTGATAGAACTCAATTCAGAATTGAGGATGAGATCCCAAAGTACTTTAATGTCTTGGGGACAAATTAACAGTTTGAAATTCCAAAAAAGAAATGATGACCCATTATTGACTGATGGAACTGGGAACATAACATGGGTTGTTCAACAGTTATCTATCATGTTCACCATGTGAATGTTCTTTAGAATGTGGCTGTGTATGTCAGTGAGCTAAAAATCAATTTAGTGAGCCTAGGCTAGCAGTTAAAATGAAACAATATATCAGAAATGAAATGTCAAAATGAAAGTAAAATACATTTTTCATAATGGCAATTTAGTCATTTTTTAAAAAAATACTGTGGCAAGTCATCCTAGACATGATTTAAATTTACATATGATTTTAAAGACAAAAATAGCAAAATCCAAAGTCTACTGATATATTTTAATAGAAATTTGTTAGGTTTGGTCCTATGTATCACTTTCATGAGTTAATACAGAGACATGGATGCCTTTTAACAAAATAAAATTTAATTAAATTGTTAAAAATGATGACAATTTTAACCTTTGGAATAGAGTAGGAGAAATCTTATTGTGTAATGAGCTATTGTATCTTAATATGATCCTTTAATATGAGCCTGTAATTAATCCAATCATTTGCCACATCAAGCAGGATTGGTCAACTGTGTTTCATTAATCTTTTACAGGAAACTCAAAACCTTAAATTATTTAATTTAAAATAAAACACTTATTCAAATATTAAAAGTGTCAATCACTGTAACAATCTAATTTAGAGTAAATAAGGGAATAAACACGAAAGTCATGTGAAGATTGGAGGTCTGTCCATAGGAAGTACTATAAGATTTGATTTATGATCATATATAAATATGAAATGAAAGTTTTTACATTGCAAGATCTTCTTGGTGATTACCTAACTGTATTATTAAAGCACTGTCTTTCCTCTTCTGCTGTAGCTTTTTGTATCTTCTTGAACCCAAGAATGCTCTGACACAGGCTTGAATCAAAACAAGCTTGTCAATAGCTTCCTTTCTCATTAGATTCAACTGTTCCACGTGGTAATACTTAAGAAACACCTTAAGAGAATTAAAACAAACTGCAGTGAGATCATGGCACACAGGTACTCAGTGGTCATGTATTATGTAAGAACAGATTGCATGTTGAACCTGTTCAGGCTGTGGAAGACCTATTTGCTTTTGAGCTTGGCTGTCATTTAGATTTTGATGTTTAAAGAAAACTTGTCTTTTGAATCTGATAATAAGAATGGGGGATTCTGAGCTCTTTCTAGCAAATATTTAGCATCATATATTCTGGGTTAAGCACAGTTTAGTGTTTAAAACATTTTAGAGACAATGTTCTCTCCAAAATTTAAAAATCATACAAATCTATCTGTAAATTAAAGGGCAGTTTATTCACTAAATATTCATTCATCAAAATATTCTTAAGAACTTACTGCATTTCTTTATCTGATGACTATAAAAAGGTAAATATAGCAAGGGACTCTCAAAGCATTGTCAGTGGGAAAAATAAGGCAGAGAGAGGGTCCCATCAGAATCAGCAACTGTCACAGTAAACTAAATATGGGCTGACTTCAGATCATTCAAAAGTTAACTTGAACTTGGGCGAGGCAGGAGCCTTAAGACCAAAGGCATTCTGCACATGTAAAATTTTTAGCCTCACCCTTAAGTGATACGTTAAGGTAATGCCTTTCTTTCTTTTAATATAAATTCGTCAACAGAGGTCACCTCAAAGAGGTCATTGTGCCCTTTAAGAAAATTACTTAAAATCAAATATTATAGCTGAGTCATAAGATATGGTAATCTTGACTACAGAATTCTCTCAGCATGCCATTGAATGTAGGAGCCTGGAACTTCAAGCAAACAGCTGGGCATTATGGATTTTGATTGAATTCAATTTTAATTTCTACAGGATTCTAGATGTTAATATATTTAGTTCATTCTGTTGTTGACAATTCATTTAAAATTCAATGTGTTTAAAAAGGTCATCATTTTTGCATAGCATTAGAAATGTTCTTATATTAAACACTTTTATCCATGTTAATGAGTTGGAAAGGTGAAGTGGAAAAATACAAATAGCTTTAAAATGCTATTTAAATATCATGCAGAACTGGCAGTCAAAGGGTCTTTTTACAGGTTAAAACTCCATTTGAAGTTACACATGCATTTCTGACCATAAATGATGAAATTTTAGCCTAACAGAGTTCATCTTTGTGAGCATTTTATAGAAAATGGTTTGAATAAAAAATATATCCTCTGAGCACCTTGAATTCTTATCAAAGTATTCAAAAAACTTATCAAGTTTTAATGAGTGTAAGGCAGGTGTTCAGAAAATCCCTCAGATTGTTACGTGATACTACCATCATGAAATTCTCTCTTCTCTTCCTATTCCCAGGACACCATATTCAGATTTTTTTTTTTTTCAAATGAAGGTGTTTGTTTTGGTCCTGATAGGATGGCTGAGAATAGTTATTCTTGAATGGTCAGTCTTGAATATTTCTTTACTCTAGCTTTATCCTTTCCTCTATCCTGTCTTGGGGAATATCTGATAAACTTCCAAGACATATTTAGAATGAAGGGGGATTAAGATGCTATAACGACATGTGCAAGGTCCAATGTATCTTTTTTTCCAAACAGCTGCCTGTTTGACTTCCATAGTCAAGACGATGTTTTTCTTTTTTTTAGAAAAGCAGTTCCGACCCTCCAGGCTCCCAAAGTTAACAATATATGCACCAGTACTCAAGATGATGCTAAATATTTACTTAAGATAAACTTCAAGTTTACAATAGAGATCAAGTAAGAATTTAGCTAAAAAGAAGAGAAGCAGGAATTTCATTCTGATCTTTATACTAGCTTTCTGACTCTAAGTGATAAAATAAATAAAACGACAGTTGGGCATGGCAGTGCGTGCCTTTAATCTCAACTCTGGAGACAGAAGTAGGTGCATCTCCATGAGCTCAAGGGCAGCCTGGACTATGAAAGTGAGTTTCAGGCCAGTGAGACATTCACAGTAAGTCCCTGGTCCCTCTCACAGAAAAATACATCAGTTTGTTTTCAAACACCATTTGAAGTTAAGTATACTTACTGTCAGGGTCACTGGGGTTTTTCTTTTGAATAAATCTTTGAAATAAAATTTTTACACATTGTGTGCATCAGGTTTGCCTGTGGGCGTGTCTGGGAATCACAGCATAAGAAGGTCTGGCCACTGTGGGCAGTATCGTTCCCAGCAAGTGTTTTATCTTCTTTAGGGAAGGCCTTATGAATTAAAAGTTTCACCCCCAATTTTATATGTTCTCTAAAAAATTCATAATAGTTTCAACCATAGTAAACTGTTACTAATCCTACAAATCTAGTCATCATTTCCCCACCAAAATGACATGAAAACAGTACTTTTGTTTTTCCAAGAGCCCAGTTATCAAGACCAGCCTTTTCCAAAATGGCAGCGCAGGTGTCTGGGCTCACTGGGGGCTCTTCACTCCATTTGTAGCAGAGAACGTAATACCTGAAAATGACAAAAATGGCTGGTTGGTTTATGCAGCAGCCCAACATCTCAGGTGTGGTAGCCACGGGCTACCTTTGTCACGTTGAAGGGACGAGACTACCAGATTTAATGCTTGGCTCTCTTAGATATCCCCCGAACAACGGCAGGGTGAAACCGCTACAGACAGACATCTAGAGCCCTCTGTGGTACCACTCCTCCTGGTTCTAGTCATAAACGTCATGTACAGGAAATCTTCTGTTACTCATGAACGCATGAAAATAAAACGTTTATGATCTGTGTGCTCAGATTACTAGAAAATAAAGTTGAAGGCCTGTAGAAGTTAAACCACTTTGAAGGCGAATATTTAGTAAATGAGAGACTTCGGTTCAATGCTGAGTGTGAGTTTAAAGCAGGAGCTTTGTAATGGCTAAGCTGCATTGTCAACCTGAGACACCTGAGAAGAGAGAAACGTAGTTAAAGGACTGCCTGGATCAGGTTTGCATATGGCCATGTCTAGGGGGGCATTTTCTTGATTGCTAACCAATTTAAGAAAGCCACTGTGACTGGTGTCATCCTAGGCAGGGTCCCAGCTGTATAAGAAAGCTAGTTAACATGCACCTGGGAACAAGTCAGTAAACACTGGTCTTCTGTTGGTTAGTCCTTCAAGCTCTCCCTTGGGTTCCTGCCTTGGCCTTCCTCTATGATAGACTATAACCTGTAAGCTAAAATAAACCCTTTCTTCCTGAATTTGATTTTTGTCAGTGTTTTGTCACAGTAACAGAAAGCAAACTAGAACCTATTATACTATTTTGCCATCAGCAAATTCTGCTTAGGGGATTGTGAGCCAAATGACTGCAAAGATTTCACTATGAGATGGAGTTGATGTTTCTGGATCTTAGGATAGGGTTTATTTGAAAACCAAACAAAACAGTAAAAACCTCTGTGCTATAGTTTTGAACTTACATGTCTCTGATGATCCATGTGTTAAAGACCTGTTCTGTGGAGCAGCTTTTGGAAGACTGTAGGACTCCTAAGAGGTGTCGTAGAGGGAGGTCTTCAGGTTACTGGGATGTGCCCTTAAAGAGGCTATTGCGACCCCATCCCCCTCCTTTTTCTTTTGTCTTTACTTCCTGGCTTCCACAGGGAACTGGTTTTATTCAAACATTTTAGTGTGATATGCCATCATAGGTCCAAAGTCATGGAGCCAACCAGTGGACTGGAAGCCCAAATCAATCTTTTTTGTTTTTATGATAAATTCTAAGGTCAAATTTTATTTCTACAAAAAGACAATCAAATAATATAAAACACATTGAAGGCATATTATTGAGTTAGCTTCAAGTAGAGCTTGACTCTGGAAAGGCTTTGAGTCCAGAGGGAGGGGAAAGGCCATCCTGTTCCTGGGCTGCCCCCGCAGCTGCTCTGAGGAAGAGGCAGCTGGTTACAAAGCAGAGGTTACCAAGGCTGAGCCTGCCGAAGGTAAACCATGCCAGGGGAGGCAGTGGTGGCCTGCTGCGCTGAAGAGTGGGAGCTTGTGGCATATCCTAGCAGAGCTCAGTGGTGGAGAAGCTTGAAATTTCAGAAGGATATTCTGGCTTTTGCTTGTGCTGGTCTAGCACAGCTGCAGAGAGGTCTTCTCACTGACAGCCTTAAGAGCCTTTCTGGAGAGAAACTCATCACACAGGGGCATGGTCGTCTCTGCTGGCTCTTAAGGCTGTTAGTGATACGCTCTGTGGGGTCTGCCCGTTGAGTCCAGTTCTGTGGAAATACTTTGCTAGAATTTTATGTAAAAGCAGCTTCCCTTTGTATGGACTTTTTATAATTTTTAAAAGGTCATTACTAAGGTGGCATGAGGGGGACTTGAGCCGTTACTCACAGGCAGTGTGGCACAGGAGAAGAGCTGCTGGTACTGCTGCCTTAAATATTACTAATATCACTCAGAATAAGCCAGTTTTAAAACTGTGTCTCCATAGCTGCTAGCACAGTGGTTAGCATATATATATACCATATTTGTGATGTTTATGTAGAATAAGGTAAAAAGACCAATTATTAGATACTGACTTATGGATTTATTTAGTGATTTACATAAAGTACTGCTTGTACTGTTATTGCCAAGCATGACTCCAGAAGGACTCAGAAGGACTCAGAGGAAGAGCTGAAACAACAGTTATTACCCTTAGCAACCTGACCACAAAAGCTTTTATCTGTCATATGCCTTTAAAAAACAAAGGTTCCCCAAACTAACTGCTGTATACACTTCACTTCTGGAAAAAGTCCCACTTGATTGCTTGACACACTTTGTGGTTTTATAATATAAAATGCAAACTGGATTTGGAGTGAAGCCTTTCAAGGTCTTGGGTTTGGTGCCCTGGTAAATATGTCTTGTCTCGTCCACTCTCGTTGGTGTTAGAGTGTTTACTCCAGAGATATTCTTGCAATGGTATTTATATTAACATTGATGAAAGGTCTACTCTCTTTATAAATCATGAAAGCATGATAATAAATCAAATTTTAATTTTAACCTGAAAATTTCTTTAGATCTAATATCTAATATTTTTAGATTATGTACTTTCATGCACAAAACTGAGTATTTATCTACTGGTTAAGTAAAAATTTCAATATTTTAAGATTTCTTATTTATATACAAATTTGGGACTAAGCTACAGAAAGTAGCTCAATTCAACTCTATTTCTGAACTCTAATATTTAAATCTATAAAGTTGGCCTTAAACTTTTATGAAAATGCATATATTTATGAAATATATAATCTAGAATAAAAATGTAATTTTAATATATATCATGAAAAAGTGGTAGGGTGAGAGGCGGGGCAAGATGGCAGCGCCAGGAGGACTCTCATTCTGAGCAGCAGCACAGCAGGATTGGCACAGTGACCAGCAATCAGAACTCGCGGCCATAAAACACAAGTGGTTGTGTTTCTCAGGTGAGAGGATACCCCATGGTGGGGGATTCGATCAGCTTTAACTCACCAGGCTAAACCGCGGAAGAGATCCTGGTTCCGCCAGGCGCTTGGTCACCAGCCCAGAGCTACCCGCCAGTGCGATCTGGTCACGGTCCCAGACTGAACTGTGGGCCCAGAACATCACAGACTGGATTTTCCAGTCGAGAGATAACCCCATGGAGCAGGAAATGATTGGGACCGACCTTAGGTCACCCAGACATCCCCTGGAAAAGATTCGGGTTCCACAGGTGCCACAGGAACCAGCCTGGAGCCAAAGTCAGGGACCCAGGCACCTGCACAGAGCCCTGCCTACATGCCTGATTTGCCACCTCAGATAGAACTGTGGGCCCCAGGGCACCAGGGCACCAGAGAATGCATTTCATGGTCAGGTGCAAACCCACAGGGAGAGAAACGGCTGGTCTGATCTCAGAGCACTAAGCCGACACCCCCACCCCGAAAAGGTCTCGGGAAAATTATCCAGTTTAGGCAGACACCCAGACTCCCAAAGGCCAGAAAGGCGGAGCCACAGGTGGGCATCTGTGCCTGTGGGTTCTACTCGCCACCTCAGACAGAACAGCAGTCCCCAAAGCAAAGACTGAGTGTCTCTGGCAGGAGGAAACCCCCAGCAGAGGGGAGCATCAGGTCTAACGCTCAGGACACCCAGCACCAAAAGACTTTCTGGATTCATGCAGACTCTAGGCTCTAGCTTTCTAATGCAGGCAGGAGCGCTGTGCTCAGCCGCCATTATTGAGTTCCCCTAGGGCACTGGGACACACAGCTGCATCCTCAGACCTACAAAAGCCAGAGAGCCATTATAGCAGCCCTCAGATACTGTGCCAAGGATCAACCAGTTATCCCTAGGTAGACTGACAAAACTGTGGGAATCCCTGGTCCTTCAAGAGGGCTGCACCCACAGCATCTGGACCAGAGCAGTGCCTGCAGCCGTCATCCCAGACAGGGACACACAGCTTCTGGTCCAGAGTGAGGCACCCAGCCTCCAGACCAGAGCGGCGCCCCCAGGCGCCAACTCAACCTAGGTGCACATTCTCCAGGCCCAGAGCGAAGCACTCAGCCTCTGGCCCAGAGACTTGCTGGGCACACCTCTCAATTTCCTGGACAGAACTGTGTGCCCCAGGATAACAGACTGAGTTTCCCTGTTGGGAGAAAACCCCACAGCTAGGGAATCAGCAGGTTCTTCAAGAGGACTGTACCTGGAAAACTGTAACAGCAGCAGCTCACTAAATTTATAACGAGAAACCCAGCAGTGGGGCAGCTGTCTTGAGAAGTTCTATGGGTAAGAGGAGATCCCCCCCTGCCTAACAAAGACCACAGCTACTACTCAGGGCTATACACCTGAGGTGAGCAGTGGCAATTCCTGAGAAACACTGGCCATACAGTGACCATAACCAAAAAGCAGAGGAGGACTCCTTCAGGAAAAATCATCTTCCAGTCAAGGGGATTCTCCCTACCTCAGGACTCCAGGAAGCACAGAAACTAATAGCCAACACCTAAATCAGCCCAGTGGGTAGAGGTCAGCTTAAAAGCTCAACCAACAAAAGACAGAGCAATATGGCATCTCCAGAATCCAGCCATCCAGGGGCGAACAGCCCTGGACAACGCAGCATAATAGAAAATCAAGAAGATGACCTTACATCTATGCTGATGAAGAGGATGATAGAGGAAACAAATAAAATACATAAAGAATTAGAGGAAGATAAAACCAAACAGATCATGGCTATCCGTAAAGAAATGGAGGAAGTTAAAGACAAGCAGATTATGGCCATCCGTGAAGAAATACGGGAAGATGCAGCCAAACAGCTTGCGGCCTTCAGAGAAGAAATAATTAAATCACTGAAAGAAATAAAAGAAACAGAGTTGAAGGAACTAAAAGAAAAGGAAGTAAACAAAACAACTCAAGACCTGAAGATAGAACTGGAAAAATTAAAGAAAACACAAATGGAGGAAATAATGGAGAGGAAGAATTTAGGGAAGAAAACAGGAACTACAGAGGTAAGCATAACCAACAGACTACAAGAGATGGAAGAAAGAATCTCAGGTGTAGAAGA